TCTGTCCACTGCCCTCTGCCCCTTACCCCTCGGCCCTGTAGGGGCGCTGGCCGTCTCTTGCTGGACAACTGCACCGGCTCTTAACTGACCTCTGTGTCCTGGATGGGCCCCCGCGGCTCCCTCACCTTTCCCACGTGGCCCCCGGCTCCGTCATCCAGAGGCGCCCGGAGCTCTGGGTCCGAGCGCTGAGGTGCTTCTCAAACTAACTGTGCGTCCATCCCGGCATCTGAAAGCTCGGGTTCTGACTCAGCAATTCTGGACTCAGGCCTGAAACTCTGCATTTCACATAAGCTCCGGGTGATGCTAACGCTGCAAGGAGCTGGGGGCGGGGGAAGGGGCGCGGGGAGCCCTGCTGTCTCCCTAGCCTAGTCCCCAACTCTGTTCCAGCCACACTGAACTTCCAGCGCCCAGAATGCTCCCCGCTCCGGCTCCCCGCTGGGCCTCGGTGCAGGCTGTCTCCCTGGCCTGGCTGGCTCCCCCTTCACTGCAGGCACTATGTAGGCGTCACCTCCTCCACCCTTCTCGGACCGGGCGGCTCAGTGGTGTGCGGTGGAGGGGAAGGTGGTAGCGAGCCCTCTACCTGTGGCAAGGTCAAGGGGAGAGTGAGCGAGCCTGGGAGTTTCAGGGCAGCAGCGGGAGAATCGGGGAGCTCCTTCCTCCTAGAGAAGGTCCTTGCAAGGTCGTCTGCTGCCCCCCCCACCCCACCCCGCCGGGTGTTGACCTGAGGTCAGTGTCCGACAGGCCTCCCGCTGCTCGGTTCTTGGTTGAGCGGGGAGGATCCCTGAAGTAAAGACAGCAGCTGCCGGGACCCTGAGCAGGCCAGTCTCTCCGCTGTCTGTGTTCTCAGGCCGCAAACGGGGTGTCTGTCCCGTGAGCAAGGTCATTGCAAGGGTGAAACCTTTTTCCGAAGGTTCTCGACCACAGCTTGAGTGAGAGTCGTGGAGACCCGTCTCTATTGTAGAAACCTTATTCTGGGACCCTTTCCTCCCTTCTTTTCTTAAGAAAACAGTTTAAAGGGCTGTCCTTTTATTATTTTCTCTGCTCACTTGAGCTGTAAAATTACTTCCTATGCAGGTTGGAAGTCAGCGACTCCCTGGCCGGAGAAGCCCTGGAATTTGCTGGGAATGGAATCTGAGACATGTGACGGAGCCAGGCCGATTCAGCCATGTGATCTTGGCAGGGGCCGTGCCAGTGGGTCTGGAAAAAGTACATGCGTTACCGAGCAAATAAGTTGGCCGGTCGCCCAGTGCCAGGGAGAAAGCATGTGACCCACGGGGGCATCTCGTGTCCCTGCCCTTGGTGACAGTGGAAAAACCTCCCTGCCCTCCAGCTTTCACGGTCGGCGAAAAGGGCGTCCTTTCCAAACTGCGTTTCCTCTTTCCTTAAAGGGAACATCCCCTGCAGCCCTCCTTCCTGGCCTCACCCTAGCCCGCCCTCCCGGGAGCTGCAGGTCTGTTTTGCTGCGTCATAATCACAGATGTTGAGCCGTTGGTCTGTTTACAGCAGATAATGACCTTCGTTTCTCCCTGAAGAAAACTGCCAAGTTTGGTGCGTTTTTCCCATGTAGTCACTAGTTGGCACTGTAGAAAGCTAAAAAGTAAACCGTTCTCTTTTTCATAGTAGAAAATCATACTCTTTTTAAAGGAAACTTACAGGAATGGGTCTGATAAATTAGGGGAGAAGATAATGCACAAGAAGGAGGAGAACGAGTTGGGCAAGGGCATTGAAGACAGCTAGTCTTATTCCTCTGGAACTGACTTTGAACTAATATTTACAATGTCTGCAAACCGGTGGCTCTGGTCTCCAAATACCTTTCCAAATCTCCTGTCCCGTTCTGTATCTGCCCTCTAGTGGGCACATGCTGAACAGAAAATTCAACAGGAGGGCTCGCTAGGAAAAAAGCAGAGGCAATAAGAAATGACAAGCCCTTCTATATATTAGTATCTGGGGGAGGCAACTAGTCAATGTGCCTCTCTCACATCGATGTTTCTCTCTCTCTCTCTCTCTCTCTCTCTCTCTCTCTCTCTCTCTCTCCTTCCACTCTCTCTAAAAATCAATGGAAAAAATATCCTCAGGTGAGGTTGTTTTTTTTTAAAAAAAGATGACCAACTCCAGGGAAATACAAATTAAAAAAACAACAACAATAGGTACTATTTCAATTCACTAGTTAGGTAAAAATGTGAAAGTCTTGAAAAGTTCTAGGTATCAACAAGTATATGGAGCCAAGGGTACTTTTAGATACTGCTAGTGAGGCTGTAAATTGTCTACAAAACAATGTGTAAAAATTGGCTTTATCCTGTAAAGCTGAAAATGCCTTAAATAACGAGGTGATCGTTTTACCACCGAGTCTCTCCCTAGGGAAACCCTTAGACATGTATCCTGCAACACGCAAGACTGTTTAGTGCTGCATGGTGGTAATAGCAAAAACAAAAGCAAAACAAAACAAAAAACAACTGATGTATCCGTACCCAGGAGAGTGGATCCGTACAATGTCGTACGTTTATTTAATGCATCCCAAAGAATGAAAATGAACAAACTACAGCCCCGTGCAGCGACGTGGCTAAATCATAGCTGAGTGAGGAAGAGCACCTGCAGAAAAGAAAAAGAAAAGCCTGGGAATGATCAAATTTACCCCGGGGAGGGATGGTAACGGTTTATTTCCTACTCCAGTGGTGAGTACATGGGCGCTTCTTTTTATGTTGACATTATGTTGGGTTCTTCTGCATGCAGGACAGATGCTCATATTTTCTGTTGTGGTCACAGATGCCTAAGGTCACATTTAGCACTGTGACCGCTTTTAGCTGTAGGATTGGCGCAATGACTTGAGCTCATTCACTCACCGTCCCACCGCCCCCCGCGGCCCTGCCTCTGCGGGCCGTTCCATCACCCACTGCGCCTGCGCGGCACATCCAAGAGATCATTGCCGAATCCCGACACGAAGCTTTGCCCTCGGCTTCCTCCTAAACGTGTCATCGTTTAGCGCTGAGGTTTAAGCTTTTGGTCCACTTTGGGTGCATTTTTATTGACGGTGTGATGAGGCCCAACATCATTGTTTTGCAGGGTCCTCCCACTGATGGATGAAGAAACCGCCCCCCCCCCCGTTCTCGCCACTGGTTAAGGCAGCGGACTGGCAGTCAAATCCAGCCTACTGGGCAGCGCCCTGCAACTGCGCAGGCGCCCAGCAGCAGGCGCCCAGCAGCAGGCGCCCCAGCCCAGGGTTTGGACCCGCCTCTTTGCTGAGAGCCCTTTGACTTTTCGGCTAGGGGCCCTCCCCTTTCCGGTTCCCGAGCCGTGGATCCCTGAAAATTGGCGCAGGCGCGGGTGGGAGGGAAGGCTTGGCAAATCTTTGGCGTCGGGGCCGTCAGCAGCTGGTTGTAAGACGTGGACTCCAGCTCCGCGTTGTGTTATATCCAGGCCGCGTTTTCCCTCGCGCTCTAAGACGGGGCGGGGCCCTGGGGGCGCCGGTAAATAAGGCCGGGGGCGGGGCTTGGTGCAACGCGTGCGCGTGCGCTCTGCCCGAATTGGCTGCTTGGAACGGCGCCGGTGGCCGGTGTTGGCGGGAGATTCGTGGGCTCTTCGGGCTGGGAGAGCGGCGGTGGCCGAGATGGCCTCCGCGGGACGGGTGCGGACCCGGCGAGGCGCGAGGTAAGTGCTGCGGCCCTTGGGAGCGCAGGCCCGAGGCCGGCTTTATCTTCTCGTCTTACCGCGCTTTGTGCCCCTGGCAGCTGCGCTGCTAGCGAGGCGCCCAGGCTCTACCATTGCGTTAGTTTCACCGTGTGACTCTGGGCCTCTGTTTTCCCGTCTGTAAAATGGGAATAATAATCCCCCATAGGATTGCCTTGAGCCTTAAATGGGGTTACGGTTTAACAGTGCCGGACGCGCAGGAAGGAATGGTAGCTAGTGTTGGCGTTACTCTGTGGGTGAGCGTAAAGGAGGCTCAGAACACTTTGAAACCAGCGATCCAACAAACACCGAGCACCTGCTCCCTGCCAGACATCTCATTCCTGCGACCTGTGCTCTGGCTAGTAGTCAATATTCTTCTTTTCCAAGCCCTTGTTGGTTTTTTGTTTTGTTTTGTTTTTTATAGAGAGGAAGGGAGAGGGATAGAGAGTTAGAAACATCGATCAGCTGCTTCCTGCTCACTCCCTACTGGGGATGTGCCCGCAACCAAGGTACATGCCCTTGACCGGAATCGAACCTGGGACCCTTGAGTCCGCAGGCCGACACTCTATCCACTGAGCCAAACTGGTTAGGGCCTGTTTTGTTTTTTATAACGCAAACCACAGATCTTAAAGCTGAACCACATCTCAGCGGGGTTGAGGTAGGGGAGACGACAAAGCTGCCGCTTTTTATATAACATTTGTATTTATATGTTATGTATAACATTTTATTTATGTATTTATATATAAACATTTTTTTCCCCTTTGGGACTCATGAAATCTGTTCTTCCCTCCTCCCAAAATGCACTGGTGTGCAGACAGCAAAACTTTTACATATAGTAGTATCACAGGGGTTTCCATCTTTTGGAAATCTCGCCCCGCCCCCTGCCCCGCCCCCTTGCCCTTGCCGAAGGTAAGAAAGAAACAACCATTTTGGGGAGCACAGTTAAGGCACGAGTTTAGGTTAAGAAGCTATGCATCTGGCTTCCAGTCCTGTTTCTGTTACTTGACTGTGACCACGGTATGTCACTTAACTCACCTGCACCCCCACATCATTAAATGTCATAAAGTGCATACCTGTGCTGTCTTCTTTGGGTCTGGAGGTCAGGTACAGCCGTGGTTCTCCAAGTGGGGCTCCTTGCCCAGCAGCGTGGGCAGCACCGGGAACTTGTTAGCGATGCAAACCTCAGACCCCAGCCCAGACTTAGGGAATCGGACCCTGTGGGGCGGGCCCTGCAGTCGGGTCTAGCAGGCCCTCCAGGTGAGTCTGATGCTGGGGTGTGAGAGCCACAGCTGTGAGCAGTTTTCCCTGCTACCTCGACTAACAGTAACATCAGGACTAGTGCGCACACCTGCTCATACATAGCCAGGGGTTTCGGCACACTGTCCGGTGCAGTCTTTTGCTCTCTTTATGTCCTTTTAACAGTGCTGGAGAGATAGGGGCTCTGCTTTCTAAACGGTTTTGTCAGAACCTGAACTTCTCTGGGTGCACGCTGTTGATGCAAGGAACGGGAGATGGGGTTTGGAAAGGGTTGCAAGTTATGGTGTTTTCCCAGTTATTTTAAAAATGTTTCCTAACTTCTGTGTGTGTGTGTTTTTGCCGTTTAATAGTGCGAGATATTCCAAGAACACTGTAGGAAGAACACGTTCCACGGGAGGTGTAAGTTATCTTTTCCTGTTTTCATGTGATTTTTCTCTTTTTTGACGACGCAGATCACTGACATTTGGTGGGAGGCTCGGAGCCATGGAGAGGCCACTGGGCGAGCTCGTGTTTTGTTGTGGTGCCATAGTGTTTTCCTCTTCCTACCGCTTCTTCCATGTGATGGAGAGAATGGTTCAGGCTTTGAATCTTTTCCCTGGACCGAGCCTGGTTTTACTTTCACTCGGCTAACGGGCGCTGTTTAAAAGTATACAGCTTTGTGTATGTTACTGTTTTCATTTGTGGCCATTTCTCCCTGTATTACCGTTTTAGACAACTGTGTATGGTTTCACGGTATTCCACTTACCCACATTACAGCTTCACTGTAAGGTGGGGGGTTGGACTAAGTCGGTGACAAAGGCAGGACATTTCTTTAACACTTTGGGTAGCCAGTTTTAAATTACTTTCCAGGGTTGTCCGTTTGGATTGGCAGTGGACACTAAGACGTAGGAACGGTGTCGGAGGGTGCCTGCTCGCAGGGCGCCGGTCAGGGAGTCCGCTCTGCTCTGTCCCGCCCTGGCTGTCTGTCTGTCTGTCTTGCGTGGTGTCCTGCCTGCTGCCCTAAGGCCCCCGCAGAGGGATGCTCCTGCAGGGCCCCTCAGCTCTCCACTCCCCCAGCCCTAGGGTGCTCGTTCTGTGCATGGATTTCTCTCTGCCCCAGAGTCCGGTGTGCAGGCGGGATTTCTCTGAGCGCTGCCACCTGCTCCCAGCCCCCTTAGCTAAAGTCCCGCGTGCCTGGGACGGGTTTCTTTAGCTCTCCTGCCCTCCCCTCCTGGAAGGCAGCTTAGCCTCAGCAGGATGGAGGGTCTGCCTTTTCTTGGGCATCCCACCCCAAACACTCCTTGAATAATTTTCGGGGTGGGGGGAGCTGTCAGTGATCAAGTTTTTGTTCTGTCAGCTTTACTCCATCTTGTTTGTATCTTCCAGAATTTCCTCATCTGTTTTCCAGAGCTACTATGGACGTTTTTCTCATTTTCTCTGTTTTGCTCTTTCGTGAGGGTTTTGGGTAGCAAAGTTCATGGGGCTTATCTGTCTATTGAACTGCAAGCCCTGGACTCTCCCCCGATCAGGGTTCTAACCCTGGGTATCCTCAGAACTGTTGGTGACCCTTCAGACCTGTGGGGCTGTTCTCGGTCGAGGCCCATCACTTTCTGTAGGTCAGGGGTTGGCAAACTAGAGACCGTGGGCCCCTGCTTGTGTCCAGTGCTGCAAGCTAAGGATGGCTTTCACATTTCCAAATGGTTGGAATAAAGGAGGAAGTATCCCATGACACAAGAGCATGCTATGAATTCAGGTTCCAGGGTCCGTAGTGAAGTTTATCCAGCACAGCCACGCTCCCTCTCTGCACCGTCCCGAGCTCTCAGGCTAACGGCTGAGCTGAGTCACTGTCGCAGGGCCCTGCGGACTGCCAGGCCTCAGGTCACTACCATCTGGTCTTTTATGGGAAAGTGCGCCAGCTCCTGCTGCAGATGATCAGAGGGGTCTGTGCATCTCCCTCCTCCACCCCCCACGCTGCTCCCAGAGTGTGAAGGCGCTTCTTTCGGCCGCAGCGCCAGCAGGGGTGTCCTTGAGGACAAGTCCATCGGTTTTGTGCTGTTCTTGTTCGTAAAGCCAGTTCCGTGACTGACTGCATTCACTTTCAGAAAGCCAGCCCACCCCACAAGCCCACGGACATGTATGATTTTTCTGAGAATTCTGGAATCTCGAGCATGGGCAGGATGAGTGAAAATGAGAAAGATGAAGAACCTTATGAATCCTTTGGTGAGTATTTCAAACCTTTATCCTAAACGCTTTAAAGTAGTTGAAGCAATAACATTCAGGCTAGTTAGTAATAAAAAGATAGAAATATCTTCAAACATAAAACTCAGTTGCCTGTGTGTGAATAGAATGTTCGGGGCAGTTCTTGGTGATGTGAATTAATTTTTCTCACTTCTGAGTCGGTTGGAACTCAGAACTCCATTAAACATTATCAAAGTAGAGCCCTTCTAGGAGCATCGGTCCAGCCAGTCACACCAGGCCTCGTATGGTGTCTGTAAAGGGCCTGGGTTTAGGGAGAAGTGGGGGTAAGTTCCCCTTTTCTAAGCACAGCAAGGAGGAGGATGCACCAGGGAGCCAGGGAGAGCTTCCCTGTGCTGGTGGGAGAAACCGGCGGGTGCCTGGCTGCCCAGCAGTGTGTCCGGAGGGACGGCTTCTGCCCGCATCACTGCCCACTGCAGAGGCCAGAAATGGTACCGAAAGCGGGGTTATCTTTTCACTCTTGAGTTCTAAGAGTCCAGTTTGTATGACTGGTTACCTAGGGAGATTCAGGATTGATCTGTTCCTCTTTTTTTCCTTGTAATCCCCAGCAGTGAATCAATCCCTTTGCCTGCTGGAGGCCAATACAGAGTATATTGCTAACTTTAAAATGGTGCAGTTGGTGAGAAGTGTATTATTTAAGCAGCTGTTTGAAAAGATGTGTAAATGGGCACTGCCGTGCTAAGGTTTGAGCGTGAAGAAATGGTTTTTTGGCTCCCATCAGCATCCTTCTGCCGCCACTCAGCGCCGCCACCACGGCCACCAGCTTCCTTCCCCGGGACCTCCACCTGCCCTGCGCCCCGCCTGCCAGCTCTCCTGTTGGCCCTCTGACAGCACCTCCGTCTGTGCCTCCCACCGCGGCCACTCGGTCTCCTCTTAGAGCTTCTTCCCTATTCGGTTAACTTTTTATGTAGCTCAAGGCTCTAGCGAAGAGCGGGGGGAGGGAGGACTGGAGTCCGTCTCGAACACTGAGTGCTCACCCTGAGCGGGCCCGGGCCTTGGAGTTGATAGTGCGGTGAGCATGGCTCCATCAGGGGAGGAGAGAGATGTCAGGCTTCCTGTTTGTAGCTATCTTTCCTCTCACGGAGACATTTTCATGCAAGTACGGAGATACAGGCGATCGTGGATAAATGCCCACTGACGGCTAATCCGATGTGTATGTGAGTGAGATGGTCTACATTTTTCATTGTTGAGATGTGAGATCAAAAACATTTGGGAAGTAGGTGGTGTAATTGATTATTTTGTTAGCCATTTAAACAAAATCACTTTGTGCTCATTTAAACAAAATCACTTTGTGCTCCATTGTAAAGAACAACCTTAAACCCGCCCAGGCAGACTTTTAAAGTGGCACCTTAAAAACCTTTTGTAGAGCCTCCTCTGCACAGCACTGCTATCTACAGCGATGAAGCTGAGCTCTCCAAGCACTGCGGGTCCTTTATCCCTTCACCTCCGCGAGGACAAGAAGCAAGAAGGAGGTACGCTCATATTCCAGCACCTGTTTATTTCATTCATGGCTAATGGGGTTTCTGAGCTCTTTAAGATGGGGACCACCCTCCCACCCCCACCCCAAGATTCACCCGTCTGCTCCATGCTTCCATGTCTCTGGAGAATTATGTGTTCTTTTATGTTTTTTACTCATTTGACCAATATGAATAGATTTACTATATTAAACCATCTTTGCATTCTGGGATAACCTATTGGTTTGACCTCCTTGCTGATCTTAAATTTTTTTTTCTTTTTTAATGTTTTGTTTGGTTTTTTTTACTTAGTATTTTTTTTTCTGTCCTGCATTTTTAACTTTGTATCATTTTGTTTGGGGTGTATCTCTGGAAAGAAAATAGCAATGAAGTAATGTTTGGTTTCTTTTTTAAAAAACTTATTTTTAAAAAGTCTTATTTTCATAAGAACACTTAACATGAGATCTACCCTCTTAACACATCTGTAAGTGTCCAGTGCAGTGGGTTAGCTATAGGTGCAGTGCTGTTCAGCACATCTGTAGAACTTCACTGAAACTTCATGTCCCCAGCCCCTGGCAACCACCATCCCCTTCTCTGGTTCTGCGGGGGCCCCTATTTCGGATCCCCTCTATGGTGAAGTCACACAGTGACTGTCTTTCTGTGGCTGGCTTATTTCACTCCGGATCACGTCAACTTCAAATTCTTACATAATGCTGCACCTCAGGGCCTTTGCATATGCCAGTCCCTGCGCCTGATTGCTCCTCCTCTGTGATCTGCATGGCTTGCTCCTGTGCTTCCTTTTAGATTTCAGGTGTCAACACAGAGCTCTACTGGGATAAAATTCATAGAAAATACCACCTCTCTTCACCAGTACATCTTTGCTGCTCTTTTTCTTGCAGCATTATCTCTACCCGACCAACGTTTTATGTTCATTTTTAAATTTGTTCATTATGTCTCCCCGATAGGAGCATCTTTTTTAAAAAGCAGGACTTCGTTCTGTTCACTGCTGTTCTCCGGGGGCCTAGAACGTGACCCTGGCACACGATAGGCATTCAGTGAATATTTGAATTCATTCCTATTCACGGTGTCGTGGTCAAGGTGACGGGGCCTCAGCCCGTTGTGCTGGTTCCGATCCTTTCTCTGCCACTGTCAAGTGCTCGGCCTGTGTCAGACATAAGACGTTAACCTCTAGGCTCCCTCATCGGGAAATGGGATGATAATACAACCTGCCTCACAGGATTGTTTCAAGATCAGTTTATCCTCTCAGGCTTTAAATCTGGCTGGCATCTAGTAAACTTTGAAATGGTTGCTTTTTATTTGGCATTTTTCCAACAAGCATTTATTGAGCACTAAGTACCAGGCACTGTATTAATGACTCAAAATGGGCGTAATCCTGTCTTCATGGAGCTTATGGAGCAGGAGGTACTCACAAGGAGTCACTGGCAAATCACTCGGGAGGGCGTGGCCTCTGAGTTGGAATTAGGTGGGTGAGTGGTGGGGAGGGGAGCGGGTGCAGGTGGGTCCTGATGGCACGGCCGCTGCCGGCTGTTGACCAGCTGAGGGCGCCCTGGCTGCGTGGCCTGCTCCCCGGTCCCATGTTGTTCTGTCCCCTAGCATTGCCGTCGCTGTCACAGCACATTCCGGGAACATGCCGCTGTTTCACACCACCATTCCTTACACTTACTTTTCCTTCTGCTTGATGTACCCTTTCCTGTGTTTCTTTTTTTTTTTTTTTTCAGTGTAGATTTTGTCTTTATTCGATGATCTTAAACAAGTGACTGTGAAACATTGAAGAAAGAACCGGCCATTGTTCTTTCCTGTGTTTCTTTGCCTGGAAAAGTATTTTCAAAAGTCAACTCGGGTGTCATAGCTATGCTGTCTTTCCTCATCCCCAGCCATCTGCCCTCGTCTTCTCTGTCCAATGCTTGCCAAGTCATCGCTTGGCGTTATCTTTGGTCTTCCTGCCACACAGGGAACCTTCAAAGGAAGACTCTGAATTTTTAAAGTAATTTTATTCACTGTACTCTGCATTTTGAGATTGGTGTTAAATGTTTGTTGTGTTGAATTGAGTGCAGAAGGTGAAAGAACTCATCCATCACCTGAGGCTCAGGGTTACTTTTTCTAAGGACAAAAGGAGTATTCCCACTTATTCCACCTAATGATGGGCCTGGTGTGTGCAGGTCTGCTTTTAGTACACCTGGTAGACCTGGACATGGTGACTCGGAGGAGGGTGCAGTTCTCAGATGTGACCACAAGGTGCTGCTGTAATGGGACACTCAACAGTACTTCCTACCAAGGATCAACGGATATGACCTGGGGGTGACAGATGTGGCCTGGGGGTGACGGGGAGACAACCAGCGCATCTTGGCAGGTGGCAGCCCCACCCATGACAGACGGGAAATTTCATTCAGTGGGGCTTGTTCTCTTGTTGGGCAAGCAACTTAAAACATGTGAATGAAAATGAAATGTGTGCAAGATATTGACGGCTCATTCTTTGGCACAGTTTGAACGCTTCTGAAACTGAAGACAGTGAGAACGAGCCTGTGAAAGTTACTGCGAAAAAGGTAGGTCGGAGTGTTCTCTTCTCTACCTTAATTTTTTTTTTTTAATATATTTTATTGATTTTTTACAGAGAGGAAGGGAGAGAGATAGAGAGTTAGAAACATCGATGAGAGAGAAACATCGATCAGCTGCCTCCTGCACACTACCCATTGGGGATGTGCCCGCAACCCATGTACATGCCCTTGACCGGAATCGAACCTGGGACCTTTCAGTCCGCAAGCCGACGCTCTATCCACTGAGCCAAACCGGTTTTGGCTCTACCTTAATTTTTAAGATAGTTCACATCCTGCTTAGATTGGCTGACAATAGAGAAAATGTTCCATAAAATATTCCATATCCTGTTTAGATTGGATGCATATTAAAAAAGTTCTGTGGCAATGTTTTCCATAGAGGAAGAGTATTTTAGAAGGTACTTTTTAGATAAGTGAAATGTTTTTATGTCTGAAGTGTTTTCCATGACAGAGGTCTCGTATCTCCGTGTACCTTGTCAGTTGTAACATTCACGTACTGTGTTTAGATTGTGGTTTACAAAGGCAGAGCAGTGTCCTGGGAGTATGTGGAGCTTTCTTTCCTCTGGGTTGCCTGTCCTACCCCCTAATCTTGTCATCTCCTTGTTCCATCTTGAAGTTTAGAAATGGGAAGTGTGGGCTTGATGGTCAGCTACTGTTATGATAAGAGTGATAAGCATTTGTATTTTCTAAAGCAGTAATGATGTTTTCTTGGCATAGCGAGGAAGAAAACTCAAGCCCATTAGTGATGAATCTGAAAGCTGCAATGAAAGGGATAAACCAGAGAAAATAGGTAGCCAACGACCTGAAGCTGTGTCGTCTTCAGAACTTTCGGAGAAGTCAGCTGAACTTGGCACTTCTAAAAAGGTAGGACCTCCTGGTGCCAGCTCCTCTGTTGAGAAAGAGACCTGGCAACAGAGAGTCTACTGGTACAAGTGTCTGCCATTTTCTTGGCGAGAGAGAGAAGTTGATTGAAAATGTTTAGGAGGGTCCTAGCTGGTTTGGCTCAGTGGATAGAGCATTGGCCCAAGGACTAAAGGGTCCCGTATGGAATAGATTCCAGTCAGGGTGTGTGGGGTGCATACAGGGAGGCAACCAATCGATGTGCCTCTCTCACATCTCTGTCTCTCTTTCTGTCTCTCCCCTCCCTACCATTTTTGCCAAAAATCAATGGAAAAATATCCTCAGGTGAGGATTAACAACAACAACAAATGTTTAGGAGGAGAATAAAACATTTTTCTCTTTCCTCCAGTTTTTAAGAGACTTTTTATATCTTTTTTTATAAAATACTAGAGGCCCAGTGCACAAAAATTAGTGCACTCGGGGCGGCGGGGGGCTCAGCCCAGCCTGTGTCCTCTTGCATCGGGGAACCCTCAGGGAATGACCACCTGCTGGCTTAGGCCTGCTCCTTGGGGGATTGGGCCTAAGCTGGCAGTCAGACATCCCTCTGGCAGACCAGGAGCCATCAGAGGA